GCGCCACGCCGCCGCCGCCGCCACGCTCGCTGGCTGGCCCGGTGCGGGGGTCCGGCTCCTGCTGGAGAGGAGGACCGCCAGCGCCGCCACTTTTGCTCTGGCCCGGTCTCAGGCGCCGCCCCGGGCCCCAACCCTAGGCCCCCACCCGGCCGGGCCATGAAGTGTCACTACGAAGCGTTGGGGGTGCGACGCGACGCCAGCGAGGAGGAGCTCAAGAAGGCCTATCGGAAGCTGGCCCTGAAATGGCATCCAGGTAACTAGTCCGCCGCGGCCGCGGTCTGCCAAGAACCCCATCCCTTACCCACACCCCAGGAGGCCTGGTACCCTGGCCGCCCCACAACTTGCCCGCCCTGTTCAGCAAGCCGGGGCCTCGGCGGGCAGTCCCGCGCTGCCCTTCTTCATATGGGCGCCCTCCCCGGACCCCATCACCTTCCAGACGCCCTGAGGACCCCATCACCTTCCGGACGCCCCACCCTCTGCACCCTGTAGTGCCACTTTATTGGGAAAGACCACATTCTGGGGACTTCACCTGCATCCCTTACCCCATCTCAAACTCCAGCGAGGGAGGAGCTCTATGCCCGGCCACGCCGGCTCATCCCTTCCTCGCTCCAGGCAAAAAGCAGCTCAGCTTCCCAGGCGTTTGCCTCTGCCGCCTGTAACTTCACTCCAGACTGAGGTGTCACTTAGGGCTCCCTCTTACAGAAATCAAGACACCGGGAGCTAGTAAAATACCTTTTATTTAGGTGTGTCTTCCCGCCCCGACTTCTAGTGGACTGCTTAAGCTGAGCCTGTAGTGCACTTCGGAGGTGATTCTCAGATTCAGACTTTTCATTCTGTGGCTTCCCTAGGGAACTTTATGTGTTTACAGAGACGGGTGCTTCCGGGTTGTTTTATTGGTTGTAGTCCAGACCCATGTGACTTTTATTAAGTAATCTGATCTTTCAGAAGGAGCAACCAAGATGAGTAGTTGACTCTCCAGCTTCTTAGAGGTGCATATTAAGAGGCTTTAATGTTAGCATTCATCGAGAAACACGTTTATAGTTTCCAGTTTAGGCAACTCACTGTACTGTACCCCAGTGTTGGTTGGTTGGTTGGTTATGTGCCGTGGAGTCGGTTCCCACTCATAGCGACCCTGTACAGGGTTTCCGAGGCTGTAAATCTTTATGGGAGCAGAAAGCCTCATCTTTCTCCCGCGGAACAGCTGGTAGTTTGGAACTGCTGTCCCTGTGGTTCGCAGCCCGATTCATAACCACTACGCTACCGGAGCTCTGTACCCTAGTGTGGAGGCTCTGAAATGCTAAGACAGGGAGGAATCTCAGAGTCTGTTGGGAAGACTGACCGTATGCCCATGAAAAGTTAGATACAGATACAAACCAAATAGTGCAGCATACTTAAATTGGTAGTTGGATTAATAGAACAATAAATGAATACCTTGGTCATTCAGGGGAGAGAGTGATCACTGTACTGAGAGGGTCTGAGGCTTCCCTTGCAGTGGGGCTTGGACTTTAACTGGGTCCTGGAGGAATGGCATTTGGAAAAGTGAGCCAATTAGCATGGGGGAGAGCTCAGTATGGACAAAAGATGATGTGAGGTACAGTTTGTCTCACATCATCCCTTTAGCTCACCCAATGTGGTTGGGAGAGCTCAAGGGAAGGACAGAGGACCCAGAGTCAGGGGGTTGATCAATCTCTAGTTGATGGATCAAGGACTGAAGGTAGGAATTGCTGCATTTTAGAAATATGCCTAGCAGAGCTAAACAATACAAACATGTATTCGTGTATTGGAGGGGAAGAGGTATGTGAGCTAAATCTCAATCATAGTAAGTCAGTAGATAGTCCGAAATGAGGAAATCAAAAAAATAATGTACAACATCCTGTAGAAGCAGTCTTAGAGTAATGCCTGTTGGTGGGGCAAGGTGAGGCTGATGATTAATGCATGTAACCACATGCATGCATAATTTTGATGACTATTAAAATGCTTTGGAAGAGTTATTTGGAGTCAGATTTCAGAGGGCTTTAATTGTTAGACTGAGAACTGTGACATTTCTTTTTGGAGCAATGGAGAGTCGTGGCTGGGTTTTCCTGAGATGTTTGGGAGGGCAGTACTAACTGAGTGACTTAAAGAGAGGCGAAGGAGGAAGGCAGGGAGTCCACCGTTCCAGGATTCCACAGTGGGCAGGCCAGGGCCCCTGTCAGGTTCAGGCTCAGGGAGGGAGGACAGACCCGTGGAAGACCTACTGCAAAGGAAAGGCTACCAGATTCGGTGGTTAATTGGAAATTACTGCAAGAAAGAAAGGAAAAAGTAAGAAAAGATTACTAAAATATCAGCTGTTTTGAAACCATAGTGGGCAGTAAGGAACTGAATGCAAATATTTTCTTTAAATATCTTGGTAATTTCATGGCATCTTAGAGAACTTTTGGTTTGCAAATGCCTACATAGTTGAGGGAAGCATACTTCCCCAGCAGATAATGGCTTTGATGTACTTCATTAGTTTATTCACTAGGTAACTCTGTTGTTGTTAGATGCCTTCTACTCATTTCTGACTCAGCAATCCCATAGACAACAGAAGGAAACAATGCCCAGTCCCCTTTGCCATCCTCACAATTGTTACCTTTGAGCCCTGTTGAGTTCCTGTTGCCACTGTGTCAGTCCATCTCCTTGAGGGTGTTCCTCTTTTTACTGACTCTCCACTTTACAGCCTTGGAAACCCTATGCAGGGTCAATATGAGTTGGAACCGGATCCATGGTACACCACCACTACCTCCACTTACCAAGCATGATGCCTTTCTCTAGAGATTGGTGTCTTCAGATAACACATGCAAAGTATGAAAGATGAACTCTTACCATCTTGATTTCTGAAGACATTCTGGCTGTACTTCTTCCAGTATACATTTGTTTCTTCTTTTGGCAGTCCATAGTACTTTTAATATTCTATTCCAGCACCATAACTCAAATGAATCAATTCTCTGACAATCTTCCTTATTTCTTCTTCCAACTTTCTTTTATATGCATAAGAGGCTTTTGAAAATACCATGACTTGGGTCAGGTTTACCTTAGTCCTGAAATTGACATTTTTGCTCTTGAACACTTTAGAGGTGTTGTGCAGGAGATTTGTGGATGTAATACGTTGTTTGATTTCTGGACTACTGCTTGGATTCAGTCATAAGTGGATCCAAGCAAAATGAAGTCTTTGACAACTTCAGTCTTTGCTCCATTTATCATGATGTTTTTTACTGGTCCAGTTGTCAGTAAAAATAAAGGATTTTTGTTTTCTTTACATTGAGGTGCAACACATACTGAAGACTGTAGTCTTTGATCTTTGTCATTAACTTTTTTTTTTTTTTAAGTTTTTATTGTGAATTGAGTGAAAGTTTATAGGGCAGATCATCAGTTTTAGATTCAACAAATCATATACTTTGTTTCATTACGATGATTATAATCCCCTCCATGTACCATCAGTTAACAGTATTTCTCTCTATTCATTTTAGCTTTTTTTTTTTTAACACTCAGGCATATATAATAATTTAAACCACCAAAGGGCACATTCTGCAAGTCTACCTCCTTGCGGCCAGTTCTCAGTCGCTCTCTTCCCATGAATCTAGAGTCCTCAGCTCTTCCCTGTCCTCATCTCTGCCTCCATCTCTGGTGTGGCTGCTTCTCTGCATAAGGTCCCGCATTCCACTTGTGCTTTTCTCCCTTGATGGTCCTAGGGTCCTCTGTGTCTGGAACGTAAGATCAACTTGTTGTTGTTGTTGTTAAGTACTGTGGAGTTGCTTCCGACTCATAGTGACCCTGTGCAGGGTTTCCAAGGCTGCAAATCTTTACGGGAACAGAAAGCCTCATCTTTCTCCTGCGGAACAGCTGGTAGTTTCGAACTGCTGACCTTGAGGTTAGCAGCTTGATTCGTAACCACACAACTACTCCCTCCTTTATGCTACAAAACTTCTACCTTTCCAGTTATGATAGTTGCAATTAGTCATGATATCAACTACTCACTATTAAATCATAAGAATGTTATCCACATCTCTTTTCATAAGACCATCTAGAACAAGATGAAAACTAGTCAGTGGGGACTGGGGACCCTATCTTCCCCTGCACACTTTTTTTTTAATGTTTTATTGTGAATTATATGATAGTTTACATGAGAGAACTTTAGTTTTACATTCATTCTATCGTATATTGTTTCATTGCCGTGCTTCCAATCCCCTCCATGCATCATCAATCGACCAAAGGGTATACCCTACAAACCTGCCTCCTACACTCTCCCCGCCCCATTCTTCAGCACACAGTCCCTCTCCCTCTCTGGATCCAAAGTCCCCGGCCACTTCATCACTCCATGTCATCGTCTCTGCCTCCATCTTGGGCCTCGCTGCTTCTCTGGGTAGGGTCCCACTCTTGGCTCTTCTCCCTTGATGGTCCTAGAGACCTCCGCTCTTAGACTGGAGAGTTAATCACCCCCTTTCTTGCTATAAAACGTCTACCTTTACATTTTCAACCCTCACAATCAGTCCTGATAACAATTTTTCACTATTGTATCACAAGTGACCCATCTGCGTTTCATTTCATCAAGCTCCGCCTAGACAGATTGGATAGTACTCACTGGAGATTCTGCCTTCCTCCATGCCCCCTGGCTCTAGGTTCCCTCTTGAAAGCTTGTAAGCCAGTCATTTCTTGCCTTTGTAGTCTCTCCACCACCACCCCTCCCCCCCATTTTGGGTATCCAATGTCCAAGTTGCCCATCTCTGTCTACTCTGTGTGTGGAGGGGGTGGGAATGTTTCTTGCTGTAAGGATTTGTTCCCTCTTTTCAGTTACTGCATCCATAGGTGTAGATCAAGTTCATCGAGTTGTATCAGATTACTTTTTTTTTCCCTCTTCTTTCTTCTGGTTGAGCTCTGATCATCCAGTCATCAAAGCCAGGCCAAGTGGGTACCATCTGCAAGTGTGGGTGTTCTTGCCCTGCACACTTTTAAACTATACTTCCTCTTGAACCCTTTTAAGCCAGTCACTTCGTGCCTTTATCACCCCCTAAAATGAGCACTTGTACATAACCTAGACTAGGTTTGTGTAGGGGTGCAGTGGGTGAAGATCATAGTCTAGGAAATGTGTCTCTGAAGTGACATCTCTGACGAGATCTAAAGCCAGTGTGAAGAGTTTGGGCAGAAGGAGGCAGAGAATGTGTGGCCCAGTCCAGGGAATGGAAAGGGTGACACATTGGAAGAAAGATCCCTGAGGCCACAGTCTTCCCAAGTGTT